CTCCAGGTATTCCAGATAGTTCTAGAAATCTCCAGAACAGGTGCGAAACTTCCCGCTTGTCAGTGTCATATTTGACAGTAAATGGGGCCCAAATACTGAAATACCATGAATTTCGATTCCCCATTCCAAACGTGAGTACCCCAGGCCATTTCCGTTACAGTATTTATGGAGAATATGATACAGTTATATCAAGAATCGTTTATATATTATTAATTATTATTATATCAAAAACACAAACCAGGTTTTTTTAAATCTACGGCTCTCTAATTTTTATGGCTGCCCTTATAAATTGAACATGCACTGTTATTTAGGCGCATTAAAAATTCTTGAAATTTTCTATCATTTGCTTAACAGTAGAGCGTGAAGGCTTCTGTCGTGTGAATATTGAATGGCAAATGTGTCACATGTTCTTGATATAACTATCACATTCTCCAGAAATAATAAATACGTTTAAATAATCTTTGTATAATTTAAGCGTCCGGGCATAATTATTAATTATTTTTGAAGGGTAACTGACAGCTGTAAGCATTCCTTTGGCATTTGATTCTATTAAAAATGGCCACATTCGTTATCACAACTAAGAGAGTGACAGTATTTAAAATAAGATGCAACAAAATAGCCATATGAAAGCATTCCTTTGACATTTGATTGTAGTAAAAATGGCCACTTTCGTCATGGCAACTAAGAGTGAGAGGATTTAAAATAAGATGCGGCAAAATAGCCACAGGAAAACATAAAACTGCCAATATTTCGCAAACTAAACACTTTTGGAATAGAAAACCTTACAAAAACTTACCCTTATTTTTAATAAAGAATAAGATAAAATTATCAAAAATGGGGGTTTCCATTTGAAAAAACCGCGTTTAGGCCGTTTGACGTCATTTTAAAACTTAAAAGTTTTTAAAAAAAATTTAACCCTTTGTATTAATGGTTATCAAAACTTTGTCGAAATTCCATTAAGGTAAGTCCTTTTCAACATGAAATGCGACTTAAATTAAGTAGAACATATTCCCTTATAGGAAAAACGAACAACTATTCGAGTGGCTGCAGCTGTCATTTTTTACATAAAATTTCAAATATATCAAAAACGGTTAGACTTAGCGATAGGATCTTATACATGAAATATATTTTGAATTTGGAGTAGAATTCAAAAATGTAATAATATATGTATAGTGTTCCTTTTAAAATAAGCAACTTGATACTTACTTCCAGTATAACCGGAAGTGTAGACATCTTGAAAATGTTTTCGGCCACTTGCCCCCAATGACTTTGGCACATGGTCCAATTCTCAAATTTCTCTTAATTACAGTTGCCAGATATCGATCGCGGAGGTTCCCGGTGGGACACCCTGTATAATCTCTCAATTCCTGCGCGAGTTGAACAAAGCCGTCCAACAGTTGATACATGAAAAATTAAAATCAACACCATTTAATACTTACAAACTTATTTTTGACTTTAGACAGCTTACTGTAGTATTGCTAACTAACTCTAGCGGGCAAAACTGCAAGGTTTTAATAAACTAATAACTGGAGGGGTTCAAGTTGCACATTGCCCTATAGGGGTCTGCCTAGCTGACATTCTTCATGTTTGTAGAGCCACGAGGTGGGGATGAAAACCCTGGTCATGCTGGATGAGCAGGGCGGTAAGCATTATCATTATATCGTTTTAATTCGATACGCTAAGAAGGATTTGCAAGAAATTCCATAGGGAAACGACACCTTATTGATAAACCAGTGAATGTGTGCAATATTGACTTTCATTGTAGGGGTTTTCAATTAACAGCCACGAATAATTATCAAATTTTAAGTTGAGTTTTCTGAAATAATCTGATAATGATTGGGACACTGAATTCATACCGATTTACAAAAATTCATACCGATTTACCTTTGGGTATCTATTGGCCGCACAAACTAGTTGGTCTGGATGAACTCGATTTGTTCGTACTTGTTCTTAAGCTTTTTGGCATCGGCATTCAAGCTCTTGTTAAGACGTTGTTTGTTACTTTCTCCAACTGCACTTATATGTGTTTGACAACTGTTTACAATTCAGTCCAAATTGAATTAACGTTTCGATCGAGACGTTGCTTACCAGTAAACATGAATCAGTTACTACAGTTTAGTATCGCTTCTGTTGATTAATTATTGCAAATCCTTTTTAGCAAGTTCATTCATACACTCACTAATAATTAACGCTCATAGTTCACCCTCGATGATACATTGCATACACTAAAATTAATTGATCTTAAAATGCGGAACGACCTCAGTACATAAAGCGCTTAAAACTATTTCAGATTTAAGTATTTTGTTCAAGTATGTGTCATTTCCGAACAACAATTTCAACGACTGTTGTAAGTTCGATGTCATATCCGTCGAATGTTTGTTGTAAATATGCAATAAGATACATGACGTTTTATGTTGTCGATGTGCTCTTTTAATTACCGATAATGGAGAAATAACTAAAGATTCCATGTCGCTGGAATGGTTGATTAATTCTCCATTGTCGAGTGGCAGCTAACACTCCTGACAAATGATACATAGTTGTGAAAAATACAGACTCAATGTACATTAGAAAGTACTTTACAGGAGAACTTTTCATTTGGACATATTTATTTTTCATTTACCTACATTTACTTGCCACATACTGATTTCTAATTGCAATTTGCAAATCGTTTAAACTTTCCAACAATGA